CGCCTGTAGGAGTAATACGATGCCCTGATAACGAATATGACCTTCACTTTTGGCGCTGGCGCCATTTGGCGCCAAATGGCGCCAGCGCCAAAAATGAAGGTCATATTCGTTATCAGGGCATCGGATTACCCCTATAGGCGAAGTTTCATCGAAAATTAAAATTTTGAGTTTTTGGGGTTGTAATAGTGGAATAGTACCGAAAATTTTAAGGATTCATTCGGATCGATTCGAAAACCTTTATTCAGGTTTTTTTTCTTTCAAGGGGTCATGAAAAAAACGCCGAATGCGTGAATGACCCGAACCACTGCTGTTACCCCTGCGAGCCTACGGTATCGTACTGCCCAGTGACCGCGCGGCGAGAAACAGAAGCTAACATAAGGAATAAGAGGAAACTTTGTAAATTTCCTCAATTAATGATTCCGTGAAGATGCAACACCAACTAGTCAGAGCTGTCTAGAGAGATTCTTTGCTTAAAAGTTACCTTGCTAAGCTCGAAAGCAGCTGCAAATATCTGCATAGTGTAAAAGCAAGAAAAATTAGATGCACACGAGAGCTGTGCTATGATTGAGCTTAAGCTGCTACTCTACAGAGGGGAACGTTTCCTTCAGGATCCTTCGATGATTTGCATAATCAAGACTATAACAACCACTCCTTCATCTCGATCAATGCCATCTTCCCTGGCATTATTTACTTTTCCTCACGGTAGCTGTCTGCCATTCATACAAATAGCAACTGTCGCAATCTTACCTCAACTTTTATTGGGTACGGGAACATTCACCAAAACTGGATGGACGCGGCAAATCGCGCGGCGAAATTTGTGGAGATTTAACTCATTGGAGACAGCGCGTGTTTTGGATTTTTCGGCCGCGTGGGACATGTGCGTTTTNGCGGGCACGGCCACCTTGACGCGCATGCGCGTCAAGATGTCCCACGAGGTGCACTTTTTGGAAGCCAAAGCTGAGAGGCAACAACAAAAGTGTATTATGTTGGCAAATGAAAAGAGTAGCCGACAGGGGGGTGCTCTGCTTGTCTGCACCCTCTTAGCGAAATAGAAACAGCTTTGATGCGCTTGTAAAGCAAAGATAGGAAATTGCTACCTGGAGGCCTATAGAGCTGTAGAAAGGGAGAACTGGGGATGTAAGACATATTGCTTGTCATCAATGTAACCTATAATATGTGAATATACACTCTCTCGCTAAGAGAGTGCAGACAAGTCGTGTGCCACGTAGTCGCCTCGCCAAATTCAAATTCTTGTAACGTCAACGAGAAGGAACATCTCAAAAGCAACATCTATAAGATGGCTGGAGTCGAATACGATGCTGAGGACACATTGGACTTTGACGCACTACTAATCGCATCCGATGAGGAAGAACAAGGAACAACTGAAGATGAAGTGGATGAGGTTTTGCGAAGAACGGAATCAGATGGATCAGAGGAGGAGGACTCTGATAATGAAAGTACGTCGTCGTGGAGCAGCGATATCTTATCTCATGATCCTTGGATTTTTAGCGGTAGCTGCTGCCCAGATGATGAAGTTCCCAGTCGCCAAGAGCCGATAGATTTCTTCGAACTGTTTTTGAACGATGAGATTTTGGAACTGATAGTCAAGGAAACCAACCGTTATGGAACTCACTGCAGTGGAGATTTTCAAGAAACCGACTCCGAGGAAATGAGAAGATTTGTCGGACTATGTCTGCAAATGGGATTGGTCAAGTTGCCGCGTTTACGAGATTATTGGAGTTCGCGACCAGGCTTTGGTGGTCATGCCGTTGCATCCAAAATTATGGCTAGAAACAGATTCGAAGAGCTATTGAAGTACCTCCATTTGGCAGACAATGAAAATTTCGACGGCGACCGACTATTTAAAATCAAGAGATTCGTGCAACTGTTCAACGAGACAGCGGCCAGACTTTACTCGATCGGGGAAGAGGTGTGTGTTGATGAATCCCTTGTTCCATTCCGAGGGAGAATCGTTTTTAGGCAGTACATGCCTGCTAAACGGCACAGATATGGAATCAAATTACCCTAAAATTCCATAGATAAGAGCGCGTGAACCTACCGGTGAAAAATGAATTGGAAAAAATCGAAATTGAATGCAG